TTTCTGCATGATTTAAAGATGTGGCGGTTAATGTTTGTTTAATGGATCTCAAAGATACCACTGTACCACCACAAGTAAATATATAACCAGTCTGAGACTTGGCTTTATGCAGGTTAGAAAGATACCCAGCATCTGCATATCCAATCAATTCATATCGAGATCCTTTTGGATATAATAGGCCGAGATCAATAGATCCTTAGAGATAACAAAGAATATGTTTAATTCTTTTCCGATGTCGTTGTGTTGGCATTGCACTAAATCTGGCAGATAAATTTACAGAAAATGCTATATCTGGTCTAGTATTGTTAGCCAGATACATTAGTGCACCAATAGCACTTAAATATAGTACTTTAGGACCAAGTGCTTCCTCATTCTCCTCTTTTGGTCTAAAAGGATCTTTAATAGGATCGAGAGTTCTAACAATCATTTGAGTACTTAATGAATGTGCTTTATCCATTGCAAATCGTTTCAATACCTTCTAGGTATATGCAGATTGATGGATGAAGATTCCATTTTCCAAATATTCAATTTGTAGACCAAGATAAAAAAATTTTCTTCCGAAATCTTTAATTTCAAACTCTCCTTTCAAATATTCAATAGCTTCTTGGACCTCTCCAGTGGTACCAATGAAATTCAAGTCATCCACATAAACAACTATTTCACAAAATTTCTCTCATATTTCTTTATAAAAACACGCGGACAAGTAGAATCATTGGCATATCCCTTTTTCAATAATGATTCACTGAGACGATTATACTACATGCGACCAGATTGCTTAAGCTCATACAAAGACTTTTGTAATTTAATAGAATAACATTTTTTTGGCTTTGATTTGTATGCATCAGACATACTAAATCCTTCAGGGATTTTCATGTAAATATCACTATTCAATGAGCCATATAAGTAGGCAGTTACAACGTCCATCAGACGCATATCCAAGTTTTCACGAACTGCCAAACTGACAAGATATCGAAATGTTATTCATCAATTACTGGAGAATATGTTTCATTAAAATCAACTCCAAGTCTTTGTGAAAAACCTTGAGCAACAAGTCTTGCTTTATATATGCAATTTCATTATTCTCATTTCGCTTTCGAACAAATACTCATTTATAGCCAACAAGCTTAACACCTTCAGGTGTTTAAACGATGGGTCCAAAAACTTTCCGTTTTATCAGTGAATTTAATTCAGACTGGATCACATCTTTCCATTTTTGTCAATCTATTCTTTTCCGACATTCATCAACTAATCTAGGTTCTGGATCCTCGTCATTTTCTATTAGATCAAGTGCTACATTACATGCAAAAGTATCATCCATAATTGTATCATTTCGGTTCCAATGTTTTCCAGTAGTAACATAATTTATTGAATTTTCAATAATTTCATCATCTTCATGAGAAATTCTATTAGGATTAACATCCTCAGCAAGTTTATCAGGATTAGTTTCTTCATAAATCTAATCCATGTTACTATCTGTTTCTTGAGGGTTTTGATTAACATTCAAATCCTCAATCATTTCATTTGTTCCTCTTTTCTTTCGAGGATTTTTATCTTTGGAACCTATAAGTCTGTCACGCTTTAGGCGTACATTTGATTCATTAGCACCTTGTATTTTGTCTCAATGAATAACAGTTTTAGCAAGTAGATTTTCAGCAGCTATATAAGATTTAGTAACCCTGCTGGCGTCACAAAAAGCATCAGGCAACTGATTTGCTATTCGTTGCAAATGTAAAATTCTTTGCACCTCTATTTCACTTTGACTTGTACGAGGATTAAGAAAACTCAATGGTATTTTCCAAGTAATTTCCCTTTTCAGTTGATTAGTTTCTCCCCCTAATGTCGGGAAATGCGACTCGTCAAAATGACAATCAGCAAAACGAGTCGTAAACGAATAAATAGTTAACGGTTGAAGATATTTAATGATAGACGGTAATTCATACCCGACATATATTTCCAATCTCCATTGGGGGTCCATTTTTGTACGTTGGGACGGTGCAATTGGCACATAAATTGCGCACCCAAAAATTCTCAAATGTGAAATATTAAGCTTTTCATTATACACTAATTGTACCGAGAAGTAGCTATTATAGTTTTTCGGTCCTAATTTATCAGTTTTGCTGCATACATAATTGCACATCCCCAAGTAGATACGGGAAGCTTAGATTTCATCAACATAGGTCTTGCAATTAATTGTAGTCTTTTTTATAAGTGATTCTGCTAGACTATTTTGAGTGTGTACATGAGGTACAAGGTGTTCGATGTCAATTCCAATAGCATGCAATAATCATCAAATGTCTTAGATGAAATCACCAGCATTATCAAGACAAATTTTCTTGATTGGGTGATCTTGAAACTAAGCTCGTAATTTAATTATTTGAGCAAGTAACCTCGCAAATGCCAAATTGCGGGTGGATAATAAACATACATGTGACCATCGAGTGGATGCATCAATAAATATCATAAAATATCAAAATGGTCCGCATGGTGGATCTACATGCCCACATATATCACCCTGAATTCGTTTTAAAAATGAAGGAGATTCAGTTCCCACTTTTGCTGGTGATGGTCTAGTTATTAACTTCCTTTTTGAGCAAGCAACACATTTAAGCTCATTTGTATTTAATACCCTTTGATCATTCAAGTTATGGCCATTGGTATTTTCAATAATTCGTCTCATCATAGTTATACTGGGATGCCCAAACTGGTTATACCAAATCATAAAATCTGTAGGCTTTTGGTCTACCAGATATGTTTCAACCACATTAATTTTTGTGCAATATAATATAGAAGACAATGAAGATAATTTTTCTAATATATTTTTATGCCCATCAACGAATTTTGTAATCAACGAAAATTCATTATTTGTCTCACTTGATGTCTCAATATGATATCCATTTATGTAATATCATTAAAACTCAACAAATTTCTTTGGGATTTACTAGAATATAGTGCATTTTGGATATCAAGTTTTACTCCTTCGAGGAAAAATATTATTGCTCTTCCAGAATGATGTGCGTTGATGCACTATCATTGAGAGATGAATTGTCTTTTATATTATTTATTATAGTGTGCTCAACTTTCATATATCTTCTTCTGAGAGAAATATAAGAATAAATATATCAAAAATTTGAAAAAAATACATAGCTGTCATATCATTACAAAATATAGGGAGCAAAAGCTACATGTGTTACAAAAATATATACACATATCTATATGCATACTATTATATCACATTTTCGGGATTTTCATAGTATCCATCGTTAGGGTGTACCAGAAAATCAGATATATCTAATTGCGTATTATCAGTACATTTATCATCCCCACTACCACTGACAATGTTCTCTGAGAAATTAATTTTTGAGGGATTGACATTTTCCGGTACTTTAACATCTTCAGTTACTTTGTTTTTCTGTTTCAGAGAATTCTGGTACAACTCAACGGAATAAGAATTGGAACGACAATTTCTGAACCAATGTCCTGTCATTTCGCAGAGATAACACTTATCCTCGATTTTCTTTGAACTCTGACCAACATCATTTTGAGGCCGCTTCAGAGGCCTATTTGGTTCCTATTCATCAAAATATCCCTAACGGTAGTAATGCGAAACAAACCTGCCACAACCACGTCCACGGTCGGCTCCGCGTCCACGATTCATTCCACGTCCATGACTAAATCCACATCCACTGCCTTGTCCGCGACTTCGTCTGCAGTAGAATCTAGGCATATTATTCAAACACTGAGTCGCATTCGCTTCAGGGAATGAACTTGCACCAGTCGGCCTCGATTCGTGATTTTTCAATAATAATTCGTTATTCTGTTCAGCAACAAGGAGACAAGTAATAAGATCACAATATTTATTAAAATCTCTTTCTCGATATTGTTGCTGTAAAACTATATTAGAGACATGTAACGTGGTGAACGTTTTTTCCACATATCCCTATCAGTATTATTGTCTCCACAAAATCTTAAATGGGAAGTGATTTTGAACATTATAGAATTATAATCGGCAACTGTTGTCATGCGTGTTTCGCTTTTGGCAATATGATAGATTTCAGGTGTCCAAACCGATCTTTCAAATTTGTCCATAATTCAAATGGATCTTTCACCATTAAATATTTTATTTTCAGGGTTTCATCAATATGATGATGCAAGAAAATCATTGTCTTTTTCACGTTTTTTATTTGTGTATTTATTTTCACTAATTATTGTTTTCGAAAGCCCATGGATTCGAGGTGCATCTCGACATCCATTACCACGGCATATAATTACTTCTGGTAATTGCTAGTGGGGGAAATTCAAATTTTGCTATATTAGACATGATTAAAAGAAAATAAATAAATTTACCATAAATTTCGCAACCTTTCGAATAACCTAAAAAATATATATAACAACAAAAAAATACGATATCTTTATATGCACTTTATCGGCAAAGTCTCGTGTTGTGTTATATAATATATATATATATAACCAAATAAAATATAATAATATATATAAGGATGGTTGTAAATATATATATATTTATAAATAGACAGATAATAAAATATATAATATGTATGTAAGATAAGTGAGTATATATGTATTCGTGAGAGAGAATTGAGAGAGATAGAGGGGGAGAGAGTTTATAGCTAGAGAGGGAAAAGTAGAATTACAATTATTCCCTTTATTTGGTCCAAGCAAACCATAGGAGTTTTACAATAAATTAGTCACCAACTTAGCTTGATTGATATAATACAATATTGACACATATCAAAACATTACAAATTAATGACATTCACATAATACAATATTGACATATATCAAAACATTACAAATTAATGACATCTATATAAAATATGTCATTACATTGAATATATAATTGATATATTTTTTTATTTATTACATATTGTATATTAAATTAAAAAAAAATTATATAATGTGATATCTTAAGTAAAAAAGAAATTAAATTATCAATAACACAAAAAACAAGCAAACAAACCCTGAATTATTCCAAGGTTCTTTCAATAATTGAAACATACATTTATCAACAATGAACTTTATAAACATAACCCAATTTTCATTTAGAGAATGAAATTATTACCAAATATGCATCTCTAAAATATAATCTCACGATGAGAAGTACAACCAGAATATACCTTTACGGGCGTTATCCTCCATGTCATGTGTTGTATTTCTTACTAAATAACCTTCTAAGTTTACCAATTTCCAAATGTTCTAGAAGCTTCTTCGCGCCGGCGACGTCCATTTCAACGAGCTTCTTAAGGTACCCGATGGCGCCGTACGATACCATCAACCGCTTGCATCTCTTACTCGACAATAGCAACACGAGGCAAGGGACTGCGTATTTCTTCGCCGTGTTGTGCGGAGAAACGTCGAGCAACGCCACCAAGTTGGGCACGCTCTTGCTATCCTTCTTCACTTCTTTACGATTACGTCGACACGCCATTAAACTCACCGTTGCCCGCGCCGCAACTTCCCTCGTCGTATTCGCCTTCGCCTCGAGCATCGCAACGAGGAGCGGAATGCACCCGGCTTCCCCGACCAATCTTTTCGTCTCGATCGATGTCGAGCTACAAATGTCGCAAATTGCTGCGGCAGCCGCGTGCTTCGCTCCGGGAGACCCGGATTTGAGCACACGGGCTAGTCTCGGGAGAACGCCTACGGATACTAAAACCTCTCCGGAGATCGACCCAATTAAATTTTTTAACGCGACGACCGAAGATTCGTGTGGCGATGGACCGTCTAAGTACGCGAGAAGGCTCGTCACCCCGTCTTCGGATACGAATAATCTCTTAACGCTCTCGTCGCCGGAAGTTAGATTTTGCAAACACTCCGTCGCATACTCCCTCGACTCTGGCGATGTATCCCAGTTGAGAAGATCGATCATTACTCTAACAACCCCTTCATCGGCAAGCGTTTGTCGCGCCTCGGGGATAATCGATAGATTCCTCAAGACACAAGCGGCGGCGGATTGTAAAGTCGAATCTCCAATTCGACAAATTTCAATCATTGGCGGGACTCCACCGTGCCCGACTATAATTCGAGCCGTATCGAATGACATCGAGAGCCTTTGTAGCGCAATCATCGCGTTCTCCTTACCGATCCCGTTGCTCGACTCGGCGAGCCTTATAAGAGGAGGAAGAACACCTTCGGAGACGAGCCAATTCTCGAAGGCGCCCGACTCGACAAGCATGAGCACGACGGAGACCGTTTTTTCCCTAATTTGAGGCGACGTTGCGGTGAGCAACTGTACTAAAGCCGCGACATTGCTTTGCCCGGCGACGGCCAACACTTTTTTCGCATCCTCTTTCAAGATTTCGATGAGGCTATCGAGCGCGTTATGCTTCGACTCCAAATGCCCGATTTGAAGCCTGGCGAGCAGCTCCTTCAAATTCCCGGCCTCCGGTTCTGCGGACGAAACATCGCCGAGCACACGAGACTTGATCAACAGCCCGCAATCGCGTAAATTTAAGTCTAGTTTCCCTATAAGAGCATCAAGATCACTCTGCATCCTAAGCTTTCCTTCATATTTCTCCGTCATGCAGACGCCGGCGAGCTCGGCAGCCTCGTTCAACGACCGGAAAACTGCCTGCAGCTGTTCCCGGCAAAGTGTGTTCTTGCTGAAACAGGGGTGGCTCGACAAGTCCGAGAGCCGAGCCGGGATCTGCTCCAATTTCGAAATGATTATCTTCCATCGCCCCGGGAATTGGCCATTGACCTCCTTCGCCTTTTCAAGCGCCACCGGAACACGGGATTGCGCGTAGGACAGCCATTCCTCCGCCGACCTCCGGGCGGCGATCATTGAATTCGAGCAGTCCTCAAGCATGATTGGATTCAGATTATTGTTATTGCCAGAAATGGAAAGAAGCTGAAAACAAGAGCAAAAAAATCCAATCTTGAGTATTCAGAGATCATAGAGTTTGCATTACTACAACAATATTAAGAAAATCTGATCGAAATAAAGTGGCTGAATGAATACATAATGTAAGGAATCCTTCATTGCAAGTTAATCATATCCTAAAAAAAAAAAAATAGAATGATGAATGTGTAGAAGAAGAAGCATGTGTAGTAGCTGCATAAGAAAATTGTCCAACAACAGCCATCACTAACAAGAGGTGAATGGAATTTACTAATGCGCCCATCTCGTCTTGATGGTAGATAGCTTAGAGTGAATTGAGGCCAAAATTGTAAGTGTAAAGACAGGTCCACGGAGTGTAGCTTTCAAAAATTCTGCTGCTGCAACTGTTTTATTTTGTAGTGTAAAGAAAGGGCATTTTTTTTGATGGATTGGGGGGAAGGAAAATGACTTTGCTTTGACGAGAAGCTACTACTGTAGGAGTCACCATCTCCACTTGTAAAAACAACACTCACTCACTCACATCTAATTTAATAATATATATATATATATATATACGGACCAAATTAAAGAGAAAATGAAACAATAAATATCAAATGATGGAATAATGAAAAAAAGAAAAAAAAAAGAAACAATACCTGGAATTGGTTAGAAGGTTTTCCCAAACATTCAAGGAATTAGGCACTCCTCACTTCATCAAATTAAGAGAGGAAGACGACGACTACTACTAGTACCCACCCCACCCCACCCCACCCCAATTCAAAATCGAAAAGAAATAAACAAACAGAGAAGAGAAGAGAGATCTGATCGGACCGTTGGGTTTTGAAATTTGAAAGGGAGGGAGGCAGTCGGAAAATTGGATGGCCGGACAGGACAGGACAGGACAGCATTCAGCCTTTCACTCCTCCTCCAGTGCGCACGTGTTTGTTGCCAGGACAGGACAGGACAGCACAGCACTCACTCCTGTCTCCTTCTTCTACACATATAATAGTATTATATTCGAATTTTATGCCCAGTGGCAAAGTTGGATCCGGAGCGGACTTCATTTAAGCCCGCTATCTTGTTTTATATCAGGTATAATTACAATTTTGGGATAAGAAGAGAAAGAGGACACCTACTTTAACTTTAAATTTACAATTCTAAGGTTAAAAAATAAGCCACAATTGGAATTAAATCCTTTAGTTCACAAATTTTTTTAAAATCAGTCTCTATTTCTAATTTATAACTATATTTTTCTTTCTACCCCAAATTTTCGGTTAAATTTCACGCAAATCGATACATAATCCAGCAGAGAGGTACTGAAAATCGTCATCCGACCGATGATTAATTATCATCTATTCTTCATGATATCAACACTTCCACACAACGGTGGTAGATGGGGCACGAAGGCGAAGCAGGTTTGGACTTAATATGCCGGACGAGATATTGTTGGTAATACCTATACTCCTATGATACGGCTGGATCTGGCGCGGAAGATCACTTCCACGGGGTTTATTAGGATGCTGAGTTGCGATTGCGCAAGAATAATATAAAATTTGAATTTCAAGTTTTTTTTTTTATTTTTTGTAAATTTAATTATTATTTTTGTATTGTTAGTTTTTGGGAAAATCTAAATCGTAGAAAAAGTGCTGAAGAAGAGGGAATTCTTGGCTTTGAATGCAAACAAACTCAATCGTGATATGCCAAAGGTATTTCAATTTGTTTTTGCTCTTTTGTTTCAACCAAAAGCTTAATTAATCAAAAGGTTTTTTTTTTTTTTTCTATTCTATAGATATTCTTAACCATTATGCTCTAGAACATATATATGTATATAGGTGTAGTTATTTGACTTATTAGTTTCCTCGAATTTCTGTTCTATTTAATTCGGATTGAAAATTGTACTATCAATTCTCGAAATTGTGAATTTATAGTAAATTTATTTGTTTATTTTCAAAATTTGGTGTTTCATTCAAATTTTTGTTGATGTTCGCTTGGTTTTGTTTTGATTTGATTTTATATTCATATCTACTTTTTAAAAAAATTTGCAATAATTGGCAATAATTGACAGTTTTATATTTTTGTTACTTTTCTTTATCCGGAAATTATTGTTTTAAATATTTTGCTTGTGTATTTTTTTTTTATTTTTTTATTTTTTTGCTTAAATTACAGTTTTTGTTGATTTTTTTTTTGTCTATAGTGTGTAGAATTATTTTTGGAGGTTTTGATTAATGGATGATGCAATGCACTACACATAAAAAATAAATAAATAAATAAAATAATAATTATGTACACACTATTTTTTATTCTTCAACTCATATTACCTCTAATTAGGTGTTCTTAATATTTATTTCGATCATGAAAAGGTTGTGTGATGTCGGAGCTTTCATGAAAGGGAACCTGCGAAATTCAATAGTCACATTTCACCACTGTGAAAAAAAAAAAAAAAAAAAAAAAAAGTGCGAACCGAGAAACATATGCCTGATTTTATTTCAAATTGAAGTACGATGAACTCTAAAATTTTCATGTTTATGTTGATATATGCGAACACCGACCCACCACACCATTAATTGTATACATTCTTGCTTTTTTGGACTGGTTTCGTTGATGCACATGGGATTTTTTTACACTATTGTCACAGTTAAAGGTGTAAAAGATGGAATCGAAAAGTAGTGTTTTGGTTATAAGTTCTAAATACACAAACTTTGTATGGTGAATGAAAAGAAATTAATGAAAATAGTTTGTGTAGCCATTTATTCATATGCATGCAACTTGATTGAGGGAGACACACCTCTGCTTTTTTTTAATCATAGATGATGGATGTCAATAAATTGGAAAAGAGATGAAGGGAAACTCATATTATGGGTTAAGAATGAGTTCAGTAAATAAATAATTAAGTTTGTCATATAATAAATTAATCAAAAGATTATCACTGACTTTATTTTCATTATTTGTTTCGCAAACATTGTAACTAAATTGAAAGGAAAAAAAAAATTAAAGAATGATAAAATCAACAAACAAGAGAATGATAAAATCAGTTAATTCGAATTGCACAAACTATTTAATAATTTCCTAGGGGCGGGAGTATAGCCTATTAATCTTCTTGCTTCGTTTGTCCTACCAAACTGGCCAAAGAAACGAAGATTTGAGTCCCGGCAGCTAAAGCAGTCACAGAAATGCGGTCGTTATGGCTGTTTCGGACATAATAGAAAAAGGTGTAAGGAGCGAATAGATTATTGTACCTTTTATTTTTTTGTATATATTTTAACATGTTGAATATGTATTAATACAATAAGTATGTATTCAATTGGTACAATGTAATTACTTTATGCATCGATAGGATATAACCGGTTGGAGGCGATGGCATATTTTACAGTAGTAAGTGGTATGTAGCTCTATTATGCAAGTATATAATAAAATAGGAAAGATTTATAAATATATTTTGTAGGTATATTAATAATGTATTGAGGTATTTGATGTTATAGCTCTATAGAAACGAATGATAAATATAATATTATGTTATTTTCACGGTATTTGAATTCTATTACTGGATAATCACTTGGAGTTCTAGTAGTTGATTAAAACTCGTCGTTGTTGCTAAGTATAACCATTATCTATACATTACAACTAAGTACTAGATTTCCACATGCCACACAACTATATTGCTATTATGAAGTTATATACGTTAATACTAGATGTTTGTATATGTATTCTGCAAGTATGTTGGTAATTGAATGAGGTATCTAGTGATGCTAGCCTATGGGAACGAATGGTAAATATAATATCATGTCGTTTCCATAGTGTTTGAATTCAATTAATGGATAAACATTTGGAGTTTTATCAGTAGATTAAAACTCGTCATACTAACCAATGAATGTATAAAAAACGCAAAAATGTATGTAACGGTCTGACGCAGGTATATAAGAAAATATTAGAGGTATGTTTATATATTTAAAAGGTATATTGGTAAACGCCTGAGGTACCTGTTGATGCTAACTTGTGTGAATGAATGACATGTTATAATAATATGTCATTCCCATAGTGCTTAGAATCTATTATTGTGAATGCAATTGGATAGAGTATTAGTATATTAATACTCTCTATTGTTGAAGTGTACAATCATTGCATATGCATCACTACTAAGTACTTCTCTCACCAAAAACATAACTAACTCAATTGCCTATTGTTCATCCACATGGATCATATTGTTAACTTTTTGAAACAACTTTTTAATATTCTAGATTGGTATAATTGACTACGTTAAAGATGAATACATCTTATGTACGGGTACTACTAAAGATAATGTTATGTTTCACTAAATGTTCGAGATATGAAGTATTAGACCCACCGAACATAAGTAACTTAACTTAGGGTATTTATTAACTTAATATAGGTATGTCATTAAATAACTGAGGCATGTTGTGTTTGACAAGAAGTACGTATCAATGTGATGAGGGTATAAACCTTCATCGTACATATATAAGTTTTTCTTTCTCGGGTGCACCACTAATCTACTCAAATATCCGTGAATACACTTATGTTCACTATATGGGTATCAACCATTGCAAGGTCTTATCATGAATAGTTAGTTCCAATTTAAGAGCAGTATGTACAATTTTCTGGCTCGTTGTTGTCTTCGTATAAAGATAACCTTCATAACTAATGGGTAATATGTATATGAGCATATATATGTAGTTTGGAGATATTTCGATCTAGTTAGACGGGTACATTGATTCATTATGGAGGTACAAGATGTAAATTATTGCAATTCTAACCATGTGAAGAATTAATCATACAATCATTTACGGCACAATTCATAGCATTACTCAAAATATTAAATTTCACCAAATTTAACCCATGATTCAATCCATCAATCAATTTTAATACAATCTCATCAAACAAGAGGCAAATGAAACCAATTCAACCAACAATTCAATCCGAAATAACACATTACCCAAATCAAGCACAAATAACACAACCCAAATCAATCCAAAATCCATCCAAATTCATTATATATGTTCACTTACCCTGTGCTGATAATCGGAGTCTACGATTCGGAGGGCAGACCTTTTAGATTGCTTACCTATAAACCAACTGGGCAGTCTATCAGATTTTTTTTTCACGACTTGAAATCGCTTATAGACATCAGTAGATACCGGTGACTTGCAGGTCCCCATGCATAGTCACCAATCGTAGTAAGGTCATCCACATACGGTAACAAAAATAGAGGTACAAAATAATTTGTGATACAATACAAAATATTTGAAAAAAAAACAAGCAAAATAACGAGACGCGTCACATCAGCAACGGATAAGGGCTTCAGCCCCTGCGCTAGAGTTTTCTATAGCTTCTGCAACACCTTGGCATGGGCCAGAGAATGTGGCTTGCCCCCAAATATCCGAATAAAACATTCACTGTCAGTTAATGCGTTGTCCGTGACATAAACTCTCTTCAAATGTAGTCCCAAGACTATAAAATATTCCTCCGCTTCAAAGGGGAGCTCAATATTGGCTCCGATGTTGAATGACGTGGACACCGGGCTAAAGTTATTAACCAATGCACGAAGGCGGTTCCACAACAGCCTCATCTTCGGGGAGTCCATAAAATGGCCGAACGGAGTCATTTTGATGGCTTTAATATGTTCATACAAGATGCGTGTCTTCAATTTCTTCACCTCACTATAGAAAAACGGTTCAGAAAACCGACTGATAACCGATTTGTATTCATTCCTCGGTCTGTAAATGACTCTCATCAATCCACATTACTCAAATCTCGAATTTATTTAAAAGTATATCAGAATTTATTAGGGGTACGTAACAACACATTATGAGTACACAGTAGTCCCCTAAAAGTATACCACTTAGCAAATTAGACTTAAAAAATGCAACTCGGGTACCTAACAATATCATTATGCCAACCCACAAATATGACTAATTACCGTACAATCGAACAAAAAAGAACTAAAATATGCAACTTCGGGTAACTAAACAAATGTACATCTACGAAATTAACAAAAATCATAGATTAAACAAATAAAATCATCCAAAATCGGTGTCAAAATAAAACACCCAACCCATTCTACATGGGCAAACATACGAATGATTTCAAACCCGATTAACAAATACAATTACACCGATCATCCAGGGCTCCTCAACACCAAACCGAGATATACAAACACAAGACCAAGACTTACACAGCAAACAATCGAACAAACTACGGTATAAAATACTAATGTTAACAAAATCAAAAATCGAAAAAGATCCGACCAGACACTTACTTCTTCGAGCTTGTCCTAGGGATAAGAGTTGGTCAATTGTTTTATTTATCATTTTTGCACCGATTGGTCACTACTTGATCGCCGGGGCTTGGAAGCGTTGGTTCACCATAAGATGGAAAATATAGGGTTTTAAATTAGAGTGAGGGGGAGTTATGAGAGATTTTTTTGCCTCAACCTCTGTTAAATCGTGGGTAATTGTGTTTTTTTTTTAATTTGCGAAAAAGGTACATAATATTTAACTATAAGTATATAATGTTATAATTGGGGTAGAGCGAGAAGTAATGTAGGTATATATTACAACATACTCCCTCCGTCCTACATAATTTGTCCCTATTTTCTATTTTCGTCTCTCTCACATAACTTGTCCTCTCTATTTCTGGAAATATAATTATGCACTTTAATCATATTTTAAATTTTATAATTTTTTAATTTAAATTAAACTATTTAGTTATCTTAATCTTAATTTATAATTATTTTTACTAAATAATAATTATTTTTACTAATACACTTCTTAATTACCTACTAATTATATTTTACCTAAATTCTCGTATCTACGGTAATAAGCCCAAAATATCTGAGACAGAGGGAGTAGGAAGTATTGATCAACAGATTTCGAGTACCTATTGCGTATACAATGTGATTGAGAAGAAAATACAAATTAGAGAGTTATAATAAACCTAATTCATAAAGTAGGAGTGTAGTCTTATTGATTTATAATAATGACTTAATTGAAAGTAGAATTGTCGGCAGTGATTTTAATTAAATTTTCCTAAAAAAACATAGTATTAACAAAAAAATAATTATTATACTCCTTTCCACTTTCTCATAAGAGTTATAATTTTGTTCCTTCAATAAAAAATTTTTAACATATTTTTTTATAAGAATTAATATATTAGATATATTTTATTATATTGATATTATTTACATAATTCTTCGTACTTTATATAAAAAAAAAATATTAAAATACAAAACTAACACACCCTACAAATTTTTCATTTTAAATTATTTATAATTTTTTAGTAAATTTATTCATTTTAAAAGTATTTAATAAATATAAATCAATTTTAATTAAATTCATAATAGTATTTTGTACCCATACAAGAATCATTTAAATTTTTTTTATTTTTATCTATGTTTTCATAAATTATTATAATAAATTCAAGACAAACTCACATTCAAGTTCGAATTTGAACCTATCAAACCGAACTCAAAGCCACTTTTAATTTAAATTCTTTGACGAGTCGAGTATCGTTAACAAGTTTGAATTAATTCGATCGAATTAATTCGAACAACCGACAATCAAACTCATTCAACTCGTTTACAAACTCTAATTGTGGTATGCATGAATTTTAAGTACAAAACGTCGGTATATCTTACAACTCTCATGAATTGCATTTATAGATATAGTACATTCGTAAATTACACTTGAAAGTTAAGTTGACTATACAGAAATTTCATCCACTTTAAGTACTTTTTATACAAAACTTTAGACATCTCTGTTTGTATTCTACCTGGGTTAAGAAAAACAAAAATCATTAAAATCATTAATAGGAAAAACAAAAAAAATGTTATAATCCCCAAATTTTGTTCAAAGTAAATGTAACATATGATCCATATTCTTTTAACACTATATACCTGTAATTTATCTCCTAAACAATCTTCTTATTTATTCATATAAAACTTTTTTCTATAGAATGACACACTTATACTAAATAGTACTCCCTCCTTCTATTTACAATGTTTATATATTTCTATTTTGGGACCTCCAATTACAAAGTTAACATTTCATTAAATACCTTACTTTTTTCTACAAATACCCTTACTTTACATCACATCATTACTTTTACACAAAAAAATAAGAGCAAAAATATCATTACACTACTTTTAACTACTCACTATAATTAAAATACTATTATTTCTTAAACACCGCACTAAAAGTAAATGTAAACATTATAAGTGGACGGAGAGAGTACTACTACCCAATTGATCCAGATCTGTTTAAAGCATTTTGCATGTAATTTAAAATGGAATTGTTTGACATACTTTTGCTTGTGTTAAAGGGTGTGTTTCTTTGTGTTAAGTTTGATTTTGTATTTATAATTTTACATTTTGATTTGAAGCGTACTTTTAAAATAACATAAAATTAAAATTAAAATCAAAGTAAACAGATCTTTTAAAGATAAATACACACTAGTAGATATCAATGTTTCAACATATTTCTAATAGAATTAATTACATATTTACACTATCATTCCATATTTCTAATAGATTAAACATATTTACACTATCATTCAAGATATTGACACCACAACTAATGTTACAATTCTAAAACAAAATTAAGCACCTTTTTTTTTTTTTTTTTTTGATGAGATAGTCTAGAACCAAACATATTAGATAGAAATTTATGCATACCTTTTTGCAACTGCAGCTAATTCTGGACTATTAGACTGTGCAATTTGACAAAATCTTGCAATGTGAGTTCTTCTGGTCTTGCCTGCAACAAACCAATATGATGTTCAAGAATCAAAGAGGAACAGATACCATAAGATTTAAGGGTCTGTTTTCGTGTTTTTTTATATTGATTTCGCCCTCTATGCTAAATAGTAATGTATTTTCTACTCAAAACAGTCACCAAAGTCTAGTTTTTGTTACCGTTGGGGGGAGACCAGTGGCGCAAAGGGCTGCTTCAATCTCATGTGAAGGGCACATGTGGTGGAGCGATTTTCTCAACATTTTGCGCTTTCCGTTGAATGCAGAGTTAACCTAACAATATAGAAACAGATCGATGATGAGGATGACAGGTCAAACCGTGCACAAACCTAGGATTGATTTATTGTACGAATTCCATTCTTGAAATTAAAATAGTCACCATCATCCTTAATGATAAAACATGCAAATGCAGTGAGCCATCTTTATCTTCGTCACATATTTTGCTCGTGAGAGATGATTTTAACCAAAGCACAACAAACACAATCCATTTGGGGGACTCGAAAAAAGTGATTCAATTAACGGTGCTAAAATAAATGTAAAAAAAGATAACCATTGAGAAGAAGCTTTTGATGGAGGAAACTTGCGGATAATCCGCTGTTTGCTTTAGCTTGAATGCAACAACAGCTGCGTCGACCTGAAAAGGGGAAATTAAAGAACCAGAGTAAGTGTTTGTTGACCTGAACAGTGTGACATGTGTGTTGGATAACTTACTTTCGGTTGTGGGAAGAAATTTGTCCTTGGAACTTTACTTATGTACTCTGGATCTGGAAGTAATTTGGAGCAAGAAAATTTCACATGTTACCACATATTCTGAATTACTGGTTCCACTCCTATTTTTAACTGAATTAATTACCTGAATAGAAGTTCACAAAAATATTAATTGGCCTATATTCTGATGACTTTAAGGCAGGATCCACCAAGCGCCAGGCAGCTTCGTCCTGAAATTTTCAGAAAAGTGACAATATACCATGAAAAGAGCTTTAAACTGGATCTGCATGGGAACAAGAGTTGCATACACTGGATTGCCAGCACAAATATGATCTACTAAAATAGACATATAATGGTTGGTTAATGCTTGGAATACATTACAGCAAATAAGATCTCAAATAGAAATATTTTGCAATACAGAATGGGAACCTTCAGGCAACTTTAAACATAGCCTTTGGCTAATACATTCAAACGTAGTGCAAAATGACAGCCATGAATAAATGTGTATGTACCTGGAGTAAAAGAATCACATCTGAGAAAATATCGCCCATGGGAAGTAGCCGCTTCACTATATCAGTACTTATGTTGAAAGGAATATTGGCAACCACCTGAGAGATAAGACAAGAACCAATAAACCAATCCATGTTGCCAAAATGAGATAAGTTAACAATAGCAGAAAATATCTATCAAAGAGCAGCAACCATGCTAAAAAAAGTGTCGCCAGAATTCAGAAAAGCAAAAAGTAGTCAGGTAATTCAGATAACTTGAAAAAAGATTGATTATTTAAGTATGATTTAAGAGGCGAGAAAGAATAGCACTCAATATAGGAATTAACTCAACAAAAAAAATGCAAAAATTTTAAATTCTGAATGCAACAAAATCACTGCTGTGCAAATTGATTATATGGGCATCTAATACAGGACTATGCAATATGCGCAATCGTTACCTTAGAAACTGACAAGTTTCCATCAACAAGGCCCTTACTTTGCAGCATTGCTGACATATGAGACTGTATATGAGATTTTGTTATATCCTCTTCAAGAACCTTCATGCTCAAATACAAAAAAAAAAAAAAAAAAAAAAAAGGAGATATTAGGGCATTTTACATGTAGTTGAGCCAAATTGGGCCTTTTCCTACGCACTTTAACTGAAAACATATAAAATGTTATCATAATTAACTTTCATAGAAGCATCACTAAAGCAAATTTTGCAGCTGAAAGTATTCTTGGGAGAGAGAAAAAATAAAGTAAATAATCAATACAAATGTTTAATGAAGCCAAATGGGAGACTGCATTCCAAATGAAAAGAACAAACTCATGATCAATAAGCTTTTGAAATGAATTATAGGTGAATTAGATAAACTACTAAGATGGTTGCATAGAAAAGTTTTAAGATTGTGAGAAGACGGTCATTCGTATTCAGCAAAGCAAGGTTTGCAATCCAGAACTTAAATTATACATTATACTGCATACTATTCGGGTGAAATTTTCAAGGGAAAGGAAATATATTAGATCACGTGGACATAATTTTAGCAAAAGAAAACAAGCAAAGGATTTGATGTTTTGAATGAAGAATATGCCTTGGATTTGATGTGCTTTAGGAGCAAAACTACTTAACCATAGACTGCATGTTGCAAAAACGTAGTTGAAAACACAAACAAACTTATCGAATACCTTTACTCGGTCTACTCCATCAAAACGTTCCTTCACCAGGGTTGCCATATACGGATCCTGTAATTTACATATAGTGCATATACACATGGACATATGAAATTTTAACGCTCTGTATCAATAATCATGTTCAAATTCTAGGATTATCAAGATAAACATACCCAAGAAATTAGGAATTGTTTCTCAAAACGTTGGCAGATGATTGAATGTATTCGTCAATCGAAAATCAATATTCGAAAGCAAATGAGAACCTCAGAAATCAGACCTTTTCAATGGCCAGAACAGTCGCGCCAGCATTCACTAGAGCATTAGTTAAAGAACCAGTCCCTGGCCCGATTTCCAACACGACATCTCCTTCCTTTACCTTCGCTGCAGCGACGAGCTCCTCATTCACCGAAGCATTCAACATATAATGCTAAACAGCAACAAAATAAATAAATAAATAAACAAAACATTAAAAGAGAACCAAATTGAAAGAAGCGAGCAGAATCGTGCACATACTTGACCGAGTGATTTTCTCGGAAAACGGCCTTTGGAATTGAGAGCTTCAAGAGTTGAGTGGTAATCATCTTCTTTCCTCTTGGATTTCCTCTCGGTGGTTGCGTTCGATTGTACATTCAGTGTTGCAGTTGGTAGACCGCCGGCGGAAGAGACGGCACGGCAACCGTGCGCCGGCGACGAAACTGAACTACCGGTAAAAGTAAAGCGAAGAGGCGGCGGGGAGAGAAGAGCGGTGTTCATCGCAGCCGTTGATAAGTCGCTCGCCAGAATCAAGTGTTGCAGATATTTTTCGGAAATTATCAGACTAAAATAATAGTAAAAAAAAAAAAAATACTTATATTTTCCGTCCTATTTAAATAAATTAATCAAAGTATTTTTTATTTATTTATTTATTTTTTAATATGATGTCGAAAGACAGCCCTGCTTTAGACTTGTTCGTTCGGTTTTGAACAGCCGGTTCGCCGGTTTTTGAACCACCGGTTACGGTTCAAATCGAAATGGAGCACAAATCGATTTTTTCAAATTGCAAACTGTCTGTTCAAACCGTCGGTTTACGGTTTGAATCGGCGGTTTGACTTTTCTTTTTTATGTTTTTTTTAATCTCTCACCATGGCAGGGCATGCAGGGGCGCAGCAAAAGCAGAAGAAGAAGAAAGGAGGAGAAAGACCGAGGTTGGAAGAAAAAAAGGAAAGAAACGGGAGGAAGAAGGAAGGAAGAGGGAGAACCTTTGTGTGAGGGCGGCTGCGGCATCCGAAAGAAGAGAAGAACCTGTGTGTGTAAGGACCGCTGCAGCGTCACTGAAGCGTGAATGTGGATGGCTAATAGTATTGATTAGACATTAGAGTTAAATTGTATGTATTTTATAATAATATCATTGTATTTATAATTAAAATTTAAAATATAACAATAATATTATTAATAATATTGAAAAATAATAATACTATTAATATTTTTTTATTTATATTTTATATTTTATAATTTTTTAGTATATAATTATATATAATTTAAATTATTTTATTATCTATTACCATATTTTTATAATTTAATTATTTACTATATTTATTATTTTGATTATTTTTATATTGTAAAAATTTAATTAATTATTTATATATATGATTTTTATATAATAAATAAATAATAAATATATCTAAATAAAATTAAGGCATAATTGTATAATATGATATAAATGAATGTTAGATATAATATTTTAAACATAAGATTAATTTTTAATATAATATAAAAAATAAAATATATATATTTAATTTAATATTTTTTTTTAAAAAAAAAAGAAAAACTGATGAATAATAAATTTTTTGCAAAATTCATGGAACAAACACACCCTTTAACATCTTGTTTTATATATATATATATATATAGTTATAATTACAATGTTGGGATAAGAAGAGAAAGAGGACAGTTACATCCTTAATAAATTATATATTTTTTTATTTTGCTCCGTAAATATTTTATTTTGGTACTATTTTTTAATATTACAAATACATTTATTAATTATAATATATTATATATATATATATATCATATGTTTAATCCTTTTATTTTTATTTTTATTTATATCTATAATATTAATATTTATAAAATTGCATTAAAAAAAAAACAAACATGTACTATATAGATAAGGCCGGAGGGAGTATTAAAAAAATTATACTTCCTCCCTTTTTTTAATAAATATAAATTAATTCAATTCAATTCAATTTGTAACTTCTTACACATGTTTAATTTTTTTATTTTTATCTAATAAATAAATATTTTTATCTTGTTTATAACTGTCAAATATAGTAAGTTCGCAAGCCAAGTGTTGATTCAATTCATTAACAGCTCAACTCAACTTGTTTATAGAATTAAACAAGTTGAGCTTGAACTTGAAAATTATTTTTTCTATAAACAAGTTCGAGGTAGGCTCGTGAATAACTCAATTGAGGTTATTAGTGATAATATATTTATATTATTTATATGTTAATATAATATATATATACACAAATTTTTATATCAAAATTTGTGGTTATTAATAAAATTTCAATATTTTATTATAGTAAATTATGAATAAAATTATATATATTTAATTTATATTAAAAAAATATATAAATTTAAGGCAAACTCAAACTCAGGTTCACACTTGAATTTGAGTCTAACGAATCGAGCTCGAAGCTATTATTTTAATTTGAATCTTATTTAATTTGAATTTTGAACGAATAGAGTAGAGTATGTATCTTTAACAAATTTGAATTCAATTTTCAATTCGATTTTCAGACACTCGTTCACAAGCTCTAATTATGGTATGCGTGAATTTTAAGTACACAATGACGCTGGATCTTACAAGTCTTGTGAATTGTATTTATAAATATAGTATATTCGGAAATTACACATGAAAGTTAAGTTGACTATAAAGAAATTTCGTCCACTTTAAGTACTTCATTTTATGCAAAATTTTAGACATCTCTACTTGTCTTTCACCTGGGATAAGAAAAACAAAACAAAAATAAAATAAAATCTTCATCACCTTAAACTCATTAATTAAAAAAAAAAGTTAAATATGATCCCAAAATTTTGTTCAAAATGAATGTAACATATGATCCAAATTCTTTTACACTATGTCATTTAGATCTAAACAATTTTCTTAGTTATTCATATAAATTTTTCTTCTACAGAATGACACTTATACTAAATAGTTCCAAATTGATCTAGATCTATTTAAAATATTTTGCTTGTAATTTAAAATAGAATTGTTTGACATTGTTTTGCTAGTGTTACGGGTGTGTTTCTTTGTGTTAAGTTTGATTTTGTATTTATAATTTTACATTTTGATTTGAATGTACTTTTAAAATAACATAAAACTAAAACTAAAATAAAACTCAAAGTAAGCAGACGGGAGTGAGTTGCTAAGGGGCACACGATTACTTCGAGTGAAGGAAGTTAACCCATGACACGTGGTATCATAGCAACGATTTTGGCAAGGCAAGCAGTGGGAATGTCGGGAGAAAACGACGGGAACGTATCGGACGGAAATGCTGGTGGCTTGGATGGATGCAAGGAGAGAAGGAGCAGGTCTCGGGAATTCCTTGCGGAGTTGGAAACACAGGCGGTCAAGCTGGAGCTTGCCGTGGGGGAGTTGCCTTGCCTCAACATCTAAATAAATAAAGGGCGGGCGTTCAGTCGACTCCCGTACCCTTTGTGGGGTTCTAAAAAATATAGAAGAAAGGGGTCTGTTCCATAGAGCGGCTGGACACCCTGGAGACGAACATAGGCGAAGTCGAGAACAACGCCTTGGCGGGATTCCACGAGTTGAAGAGTTTCGTGTTGGGATCTAGCAATGCGTTGAAGGGTACCATGACAGCATCCCTTAACGAATTGAGGGTGGAATTCAAAGCCATGACCGCAGTGGAGTTGGGCGAGTTGTGGGAACATACGGCTTTGAGGTTGGAACGCCTCGAGGAGGATCGAGCCTTGTTCAAGGCGGCCTTGGAGGGAGGCGGCACTAAAGTGCGAGAAGGTTCGCGGGTTTGACGAGGTCGTCAAAAGCGACGATGAACCTACACTACCACTAGGTCCGATTACTCGAAACCGTGCCAAGAAGTTTCAAACTAATATTATGGCATTAATTCTATACTTGGAAGAGGAGAACATGCATAAAGTTGAAGCATGGAGGCCAATGGGAAGAGTGTTATCAACATTGGAGTACATCCACCCTTGAAGACCACAATTTATAACACCCATGGAGTTTCTACTCACATCATTACCCATGTGGGATAAGAGATTTTTTATTTTATTTAATAAAATGGGTCCCATCAATCTAATTAATTGGACATCTCTTATTTACTTAATTAGTGGGATATAAATAATATATATTTTTGTCCCACATTGGTTGTAGAGTCTTTTTCCAAGCTAGCCCCCCTATAGATAAGGCACTTGGGTTCACTTGTTAAACACCTTGAAATTTATATCAATTAAAGTTTTTATCTTTGTTCCATTATATTGGAATTAGTGTGTGAGCGAGGGTTACCCTTGCATACACGTATCATTCTCAAATCAGCTCCTTGGGTTGATTCCTTGGGTTCGTGGCTTCCGAAACCGACCGGAGTTTCTAGCCAAATCGTTTGAGTCTCCATTGGTTTAGAGGTGTTGGGTCTAGGCAACGCTTGGGTTCACATTCGATCGATTGACGAATCAGACACCGGTAATATCTTCCCCTTTCTTGCTTAGTTTTTTTATTTGAATTTAGTTTTAAGTTTCGGTTAGTATAGTTTAGTTACTTGGGCTGTGTCAGGGTTAGAGCTCCGAAACCTCCGAAGTATTCGGGTAAGCGTATTGCTAAGGAAATTGATAATTTCTTTTGGTCCATCGAGAATTATATGGATGCAGAAAGAATACGCGATGACGAGGACAAAATCAAAACGGCGGTCTTGTACTTGTCGGATGATGCGGGTTTGTGGTGGAGGAGGCGCCATAATGACATTGCCCGAGGGGTAGCCTGAATTGATACGTGGGAAGAATTCAATTCCGACTTGAAGGATCAATTCTACCCGAAGAATGCCGAAGAGTTGACCAAGAAGAAGTTGCGCGACCTCAAACATACGAGGAGCGTTAGGGAGTACATCAATGAATACACATCGTTGATGCTCGAACTCCCCGAGATGGTCGAGAAGGATCGTTTGTTTAACTTCATGGAGGGGTTACAAATATGGGCGGCAATTGAGTTGAGACGCCAAAAGGTCCAAACATTACAAGAAGCCATATCGGCGGCCGAAGATCTTTTAGAGATCCGACGGGACTTCGTGCCCAAGAAGGTAGTCAAGGACAAAGGTGGGGGAGTGAAGCCCTACAAGCCGATGAACAAACCCTTCTTTAAGGGTCGGGATAGAGCACCCGAGACCGGTGCGAGGGAGCGGAGTTGTTTCACGTGTGGAGGACCACACTTTGTTAAGGATTGTCCGAAGAGGAAAGCTCTCAATGCTACCACCGTAGTCCAAGAGGAGCGGGAGAAACCTGATGAGGCGAGATTAGGAGTAATGAGGGTCCTCAGTGCCGTGAAAGCAAGCGAGGAAATGTTCATGGTGCCTACGGAGGAAGGACCCGAGGATGAACTTATATATTGCGAGGCCAAGGTAAACGGGGTACCTACGAAGGTCTTGATGGATTCGGGAGCATCTCGAAACTTTTTGTCCGAAGACAAGGCGGTGGAAATGGGTGTAAAGGTGATGAAGGAAATCGGATGGATGAAACCGGCGGATTCGGCATCAAAACCAATCACTGGTATGGCCAAACAAGTCCCGGTTCAAATCGGAGGATGGCACGGCAAATTGGACTTTATGGTGCTCCCGATGAGCGATTACAATGTCAT